TTTGGATTATTCATTCGTACACCTAATATTTGTTTGGGCTTCGGTGAGTCGACCAAGTTTATGACACAGGACGCGTTTTATAAAATTTCGTCAAGGCCAGCATCGGCAAAAAATATCGTAGTTTCGTCAAGCAAAGGACAAACTGTCATAAACTTGGTTGGCGAAGGCAGTCTCGAGTGGTAGCAGCCTCAACGGATTGTCGTATGGCCTACACGTACGCAGCTATGCGCACATACTTTTTCACAATAAAATGTTTTGTTTATTTAACAAATATATTGTATGTGTTTCTATGCTTACCTACGATGGAAGTACTTAAGGAAATATATATCTGTTTGTCGTTAATATACTATTAATAATATGCTTCATTAAAAAAAAGTAGTTTGATTTTTAACTAAACAATTTTTTTAACAGAAGTTTATCTCTTCTAATAATAATATGATTTGATACGAGACATATATATATATATTTTTTATTTGATATATTTGAGCCTTTATAAGTCTAAAAAGTAACAAATGTAACAACGTAGGTTCGCATGGCTCAGCGAGGAAGTAGGTACATCACGCAGTAAACGGTAGTCCCGAGTTCGAATTCCGCTTCAGCTGTATAAAAATTTCTGAATTGTAACAAGGTTTTTTCGAAGACAAAGTAGAATATTTCCTGCAGCAGTGCATAGAAAGTAGTTGATGTATATACAGGGTGGTCCACGCAATTGTTTCAAGTCATAACTCCGTTATTATTGCATTTACGCAAAAATGCCAAAGGAGAAAGATAAATGGTTCGAAGAGCACTATATCCGTAGGCTTTTAAATTTTGTTTAGATGCAGCAGTGCATGTGCAATTAACAATTGCATCATTTCTTTAAATAGAAATGCATATTTTTTAACACAGATCGATTCTTCTGTTCATTCTACGTAAAAAATCATTAGGATACCATGGCAAAAAATGATTAGATCTCGAGATATTTTCGAAAAATGTCTTTATTGAAGAAGATGCTCAAACGCTTCTCCATTACATTCTAAACATTTATGATAACGTTTTTTTATTGTTTGCATAACTGCGTTTAAATTATCTGCAGGTATTGCTGCACATTCCAGTATGATTCTTTCTCTCAGATTCTCTACAGAATCTATGGGATTTGAATAAATTCTATCTTACAAATAACCCCACAGAAAAAAGTCAAGGGGACTTGAATCAGGTGAACGGGCTGGCGAACGTATTGATGTATTTGTTGCAATAACGTTATTGCAAAACTTATTTTTTAGAAACCGCACTTTTTCAAATTCTTAGTTTTCGTACAGTGGTCCGCTGACTTGAAGTCCCGCGAGACGGCACAGGGGCAAGGGGAGTCGGACCGCCCATTTATCTGTCTCGCTCCCTTGCTCTCAGGCAGTCCACATGTGTGTGTAACTGCCGCGACGAATAGCGAGCTAGAGACCAATGTGTGCGTGGGAATACGTGTGCCCCTTCTACTTCTCCCGCATTCCTTCCGCGGGACTTCAAGTGAGCGGAGCACAGTACTCGAGTTACGATATGTGAATTCCTACTGAATGATGAAATGCTTACTCGTACAAATCAGTTTCTGTTATGATAACAATGTCGAAAGGGTGTTTACCTTTACAACATAATCATGAAGTGTTTGAGTATCTTCTTCGATAAAGACATTTTTTGAAAATATCTCGAGATCTAATAATTTTTTTGCCATGGTACCCTAATCATTTTTTACGTAGAATGCACAGAAGAATCGATCTGTGTAAAAAAAAATATGCATTTCTATTTAAAGAAAGGATGCAATTGTTAATTGCACATGCACTGCTGCATCTAAAAAAAATTTTAAGACCTACAGATGTAGTGCTCTTCGAACCATTTATCTTTCTCCTTTGGCATTTTTTCGTAAATGCAATAATAACGGAGTTATGACTTGAAACAATTGCGTGGACCACCCTGTATAATAGAGATTAATTTTTTGTATAACTTTTTCTTAAATTTGAAGATTTTATTAAATGTTATTTAAATATTGAATTTATATTTTTCAAATATTGGATTCACAATTTTAAATATTTACTTTATATTTTTTAAATATCTAGTTTATATCCTCTGAATATTTACTTTACATTTTTTAAATATCTCTTTTATATTCTCTGAATAGTTAGTTTATATTTTTTAAACATTCAATTTATATTTTTTGTACATGTATACAATATTCAGATCCAATATTTTTGTGCTACTAGGGGTACAATGTTGGTCTCTTCATCTGCTGTTCCATTCACAAAGAAAACAACAATATTTTGAGAAAAAAAATCATCACTTTTTAAAACTTTGATACCCATTTATAGCTATTTATGATCACAAAATGTAGTAAAATATACATACATTATTTTGACATATTCAGAAAACTCTCTTCCAGCTTTTAAGACTAAAATGAAGTTTCTAGTGTTTCTAGTCTTCATGTAGCACCTCATTTTGGCAAAAATTTTTCAGAAACCCATGTTTTTAAAAAACTGAGGGTGATAAAGTAATTTTGCTTCCGTATTTGCATTTGGGATAAGGAACTCTACAAGGATCGCCCAGTGGACATTGCAGATCAGAAAAAAAGTTTTAATTTGTTGGACAGTGTTATTATAGTTAATATTAACAAACATAAAAAAACTTATTCTGCTGCTTGAAGAGTCAGAAGCTAATTACAGCAGGTATGTTTATCAGTACTAATTGATTTTTAAACTATTTTTGTGTTGATGTTTTAGTAGTAGTAGTAGTATGTATTTAATGTTCCCCTTAGGGTTACATATCTCCTCTCCTTTCCCTTACAATTCCTCCTTACACTATCTTATTCTCTATCTTCACCCCATCCTCCCCTCTCCTTCCCTCCGCTTAACCTACTCTTACCCTAGCCTTACCCTATATGCCTTGCCCGCTCGCTATTCTCGCCTCGCCTCGCCTCACCACGCATACGCTCGCTTCGCCTCGCCTCACCACGCATACGCTCGCTTCGCCTCTCTTTGCCTCGTTTCGCCTTCTATTTTCTATCCTTAAAACTACCTTAACATTACCTTAACACTACGCCTCCGCCTTTCCACGCCCGCCTCCTTCGCCTTCGACTTCCCTTTCCCTCCTTTCACTCCATTCCTTCTTTCACTCCTTACTCCTATTCTACCTTCCTCTTTCCTAAACTCTCTCCCCCCTTTCCTCCTCTCTCTCTCTCCTCTTTTCCTCCAGCCTCTTCATCCATCCCTCCCCTTTCCCTTCTTCGTCCAAAATTTCTCTTATCTTTTCCCCAACCCCCCTTTTCCTCTGCCTCATCCCCAACACATCGATCCAAGACGTGCTCCCACGTCTCTTCCTCCCCCCCCGCACATCCTACATTTCCTCTCTTCCTCCTCTTCCCAATATCTCCCCCCCCCTCATCTCGTTCCCCAGCCTATACCTCGCTATCCTCCCGTACCTCCCTCCCCCACCCTGCCCTCAAATACTTCGGCACCTCTCCCACTACGATCTCCCCGTACCACTTATTGTACCTGGACTGCCTTATCCTGGCTCTTCTCTCCTCTTCCTGCCTCCTACCATCTTGCTCCCCCCATCCCTCCGACTCCTCTCGCCCTCTTCTCCCTTCCCCTCCTTCCCATATCCCTCTCTCCCTTCTGTACTCCATCCTTTCTCTCTCCCATGCCGACAGTTCCACCCTCCCCCTTCCCTTTCCCTTTCCCTCACCTCCACCAAGCACCACCTGGCCATCACCCCTCCCTCTCCCCTACCTAGTTTCTCCTCGTAACTCCATGCTCTTTCTCCTGCCCCCGCCCTCAACTTCATTCTCTTCGTCTCCTCTCTCACCATATACCCCGGTGTCCTCCAATCCACCCCCAGCGACCACCTGATGTACCTCTCCTGCATTCTCTCCATATCCTCTCTCTCTTTCCACCCCCAAATCTCCACCCCGTATCCCGCCACTGACCACACCAGGGTATCAAACAGCCACATCCTCCTTCCCCAATCCCTCTCAAACTTCCTCTTACCCAATCCCCCATACCTGCCGCATTGCCACCCCCGCCTTCTTTACCCTATCCCTAATTTGTGCCTCCTGCCCCCCATTCCTCTTAAACACATCCCAAATACCTAAACTCCTTCACCTCCTCTATCCTTTTCCCTTTCCATCTCCAATCCATCTTCCTTTCCCTACCTCCCCCTTTCCTGAACCTCATCACCTTTTGTTTTCCCTACGTTTATCTCCAGCCTCTTTTTTTCCAAATATCCCTCCAACCGCCTGATCATACTCTCCATCTCTTCCTCCTCCCTCGCCAACAACACCAGATCATCGGCATACGCTAGCGTGCAAATCCTCCTTCCCCTCACTTCAACCCCTCCCCACCTTCCTTTCCTGAACTCCTCCTCTATATCCGCTATGTGTTGATGTTTTAGTATGTTAAACAGTTTTCTTTTGGTGTTTACTCCCTGGCATATGTGCTTTGGAGATGGGGAGAAAATGTGATATGATAACAAAACCCCCTCTACATTACTTTGGAGCCAGTGACTTACTATACAGGACGTTCGGACACCATTTTTTAAGGGAGTGATTCTTCAGACCAAAATAAAACAAATATTAAGAATGACAATATTCCGGTAGAGGCTTCATTTTAAAGTTACTGACACTTTAAAGATTCATTTAAGAAAGAAAAATTCATTCAAGATCTTTCAGAGTGTCATCCAAAGAACAAAAAGTGTCCTTACCATTTCTCCGAAAAATGATAGGAAACTGGTTAAAAATGAGTCGAAAGTATAAATATGACAATGGTCGAAATTATCTATATCTCATTTTGGCCTTTAGAATCTCCCATTAAATTATTTCCGAAAGGTAGCCGAACACTCTGTATATTTAAGTTTAATCATATAATTATTTAATTCAGTGAAAGTTTATTAATCTTTTGAAAAAATAAAGTTGTAGATTTTTGTTTAATTGCATATCTTCTATACTATGGTACATAAAAATATTTAAATATGAATAGACTTACCATGAAATAGACACAACCCAATTAGATTCACTAGTAATCCAAGTGCACCGACTGCTACAAGTAATTTAGCTTCATGTATTTCTTCTACTTCAATAAATCTTTTACATGCTTCCACGGTAATACTAAAACACAATGCTACTAAAAAAACAGCATTTACCAAAGCACCTAAAACTTCTGCTCTGGCCCAACCAAATGTATTCTTAGACCATTTCTTTGGCGACATCTGAAAAATAGCAAAAACAAATAATTTAAAAAGGAAACCTTTATTAACAACCAATATTCGTTAATAGTATAATAATCGAAATGCTACGTTTAAGGAGGTATTCTATTCTAGACAGTAATTTTTCATGTGTACTATAGAATTAAAAGAAAAATTTGTATCAGATTTCATCTTATGTTTTTGGCCCATACTTAAGAAGTATAGGCAATTTCTTTCGTGTAAAAATATTTAAATTTGTCGAAGATACAGGATTCATTCCACGCCAAATTGATCCACTTCTTTCTGTATTCGTTGTCAGGGATTTCGTTCAAATTGTTTTCAAAATTATTTCAATGTACGAAATTATTTCATAATCACTAATGACTGGGCCGACCATATAGAACATCTTATCTTTGCTCCCTTGATTTTACATGTATTTATATGTGTTGACCGGGGACATAGTCAAGATGTACCGTCGAATCTTCATTCGACTAGAGGATCGTCGTTATCAGCATATCTGTTGAGAACCGAATTTGTAATTCGCGCCCTACTTGTGGCGGACTAGAGCCCTGCATTATCGACCGACCCTCTTGTTGGTCGTAGGAGAAAACAAACGCTACAACCGCGTATGGAAGCCATCCTAGAACTACGTTTAGTACAATCTCTCTTCGGCGTACACCCAGTGATGCTAGAAAAGCACCGTCGGGTGCACACTGACACATGCTAGATACGCGTACGTGAGCTCGTGGAGTTTCGGAAAGACGACAAAGGCAAACTGACGCATGCCCTCTTTCTCGATTCTCCGAAGCTGCCCGAAGTAATTTCGGACCGCTTCGTGGGAGTCGAGAGAGAAAGGCTCACATTTGCCTTCTCGCTCTTAACAACTGAAATTCGACCTCCAGTCAACGGCATACGATTTGGATTCTCGAGCCGAGATTCTCGACTGCCCAGGCATTTTTACTTTCCGACCTATGCAGGCGCACATAAGCAAAGTACCCATAATGAAAAAAAAATTTTGTAAAATTTATTTTACGGAAATACACGTTTTCAGACCTCCTGATCATATTTTAATTATTGAAAAAAAAGAAATTTTTTTTTATTCCCATGTATGAGCACACATATGTATATTATTAATACGATTTTTGAAAATCAAAATACTTTAAGATTGAAAATTAATAAATTAAAATGAGATTCCACTCTTTACCAGTATTGTGCACGCTGTGGTATTTTTCAATAAGAAGAGTTCTTACTACTATAACATAAACAAAACAGTAGAATTAATAATTGCAGAAATTAATTAATAATGATTTTCCTCGATTGTTTTGAAATAACCGTATCAATTAGTTATTACGAACTAAATAGAACTAACTAGAAACAAAGGAAAAGTGATCCCGTTTGCCCGTTTAATACAAAGTATGGGTTGTATCTTAAATTTTAAAAGCACATAGTCGAATATTTTTAAAGGTACAACACATAGCGTTTCATTGTAGAACAGTAACATAAGTTAGCAGGTAATGTCATAAAACTGTTTTTCCCAGCTATATCCCTTTTTACCTGAAGTATAAGGTAAAAAGTACGAGCTACAAGGTACGACTATCCGAAAATCGTTCACATTTTATCAATGTAAATGAAGCGGCCTTTCCATCAGAGTTAAATACAAAATTTTGTTATTTCTGTGAAAACAGAACTTTCATTAGATGTAGGTGGTGCTTGAAATTGTTATGTTTTCACTGTTTTTACGAAAAGTACCATCCAGATTCATGTACTTCGTACATTGAAAATAACATATGTTAAATGTAATTGGTTAAATTCAACTTAAAAAAAAAATATTCGAAGGTCAGACAAAAATATAATGTCACATTTAGTGTACGATTAAAATATGATTGAAAAAATAAAAAAAAAGGATTTGTTTTGGCAGGGTTTGATCCTGCAGAGGAGTAAAACCTCAAAGTAAAACCTAACCCAAAAACGGGTACCATTCCAACTTTTCCTTGTTAGAACCGAGTTTTCAATTTGTCTTAGCGAAAATCGTAATCACATTTTGCACATGTACCCTGCGTATTTCTTAATTCCTAATTCCATTCTACGCGTCTGTCTAACATATATAAAATTTAATTCGTCCTAAGATTTATATGAAACATTTAAAAGATTTTTTATACATTATGCCTATACATATATCGGAACAACTATGAAACAAGAGGTATAATCATTATTATCCATGGACTGATTATAGTCAAAGTCTAACCGGACTTTGAAATGAGAACATAAAACCTAAATGTAAAGTTTCATTTAAATTCATTTAGCTATTTATACTCAATCGTAATAATAATATACATATGTGTGCTCATACATGGGAATAAAAAAAAATTTCTTTTTTTTCAATAATTAAAATATGATCAGGAGGTCTTAAAACGTGTATTTCCGTAAAATAAATTTTACAAAATTTTTTTTTCATTATGGGTACTTTGCTTATGTGCGCCTACATAGGTCGGAAAGTAAAAATGCCTGGGCAGTCGAGAATCTCGGCTCGAGAATCCAAATCGTATGCCGTTGACTGGAGGTCGGATTTCAGTTGTTAAGAGCGAGAAGGCAAATGTGAGCCTTTCCCTCTCGACTCCCACGAAGCGGTCCGAAATTACTTCGGGCAGCTTCGGAGAATCGAGAAAGAGGGCATGCGTCAGTTTGCCTTTGTCGTCTTTCCGAAACTCCACGAGCTCACGTACGCGTATCTAGCATGTGTGAGTGTGCACCCGACGGTGCTTTTCTGGCATCACTGCGTACACCGAAACTTTGTATTCGAAATAAATTGTTGATTTTACTGATTAGAGTTAAAGAATTCGTGTTCCTTGGTTGATCCTAGTAACCATGGACATTGTGGCGGTACTCTCCAATAGAATAAGTTACTAAGTTAAAAACTAGATTTATATTTCCTTAAGGTTGGCATTGGATATAGATGTAATAGATAGTTATACTTTATGGGGGTCTGTTTCCTGCTGCTTTCCCGAGCGTGTGGATGTTAAACAATTTAATAAAGGATTATTGTTCCTATACCTCGGGTATACCGCAACATAATTGATGCCGAAACCCGGGAGGATAAATATGAAACCCGACGGTAGCAAACAAACGGCGGAAGTAAGCGTAAGTGATTTCCGAAGTGTAAAACTTCCAACTTTCTGGAGAGACGATCCGAAATTATGGTTCGCCATGTTGCAAAAAGAGTTTGCAGCCTACGGAGTAAAGTCCAACGCGGTAGAGTGCGCATCCGTTCTCCGTCATTTGGACAATAATACGGTAAGTCGTAGCAGACATAATTTCAGCTCCAGAGTGCGACGACTCATACAATAGGGTAAAAGAGGCCCTATAATCAACAGGTGTCGGAAGAGACACAGTTGCGTCAATTATTCAGCGGCATAGAGCTGAACGGGCGGAAACCGTCTGAACTATTAAGGGGTCTGGTACCGCTAGCGGTATGGAAAACGAGGCATTTTTTTAAGCAACACTGAAGATAAAGTAAGCATTCAATTATCCTGAAACTTTGCACTGTATTTAGGTATAACAAATGTTGAAAGAAACCCTTGGCAATGTTTAAAAAATATTTATAATTAAGCCTACACAGCGCCATGTTCCCGAGCCACTTCTTGTTTTGATGCCCAGCTGGTGTGCAGGATTGTGGTAAAATGGTTGTTATGTACAACAAAAACCGAAATATTCCATTAACTATGATAAATGTCCTAGGCATTGACGATGAGACATTTCAATTTATATAAAAATGAACAATGTGGCAGATATTTGAAACTTAAAATCGAATTTTAACACAAAAACGAGTTCTTATTACGAATATTTTGCAGAATTATTTGACAATTTTGAAAAAAACGGATCGTCAATGCCTAATAAATATAATATTAAAGATAACTGTAAATTTTCAAAGCAATTGATTAATTAGAACTGAAGTAATGCTGCACACCGTTTTGTAAAACATAGTTCCGAGGAAAATGCATTTAACGCGCTACAGGACGCAGATACACGTCATCGTTTGGGGCTCTAAATTTTCAGCAAAAACATTGTTCCGACACTGAGACCTTTCGCATAATGTTTTTAAGGCTTCAAACTATTATTTAAGCCAAAAAAAAAAATCGAATTTTTCAATATTCTAGAGTTACCAGACCCCTTAAGGGAAATGCAGTTGCTCGCTGGAATGGAAGTAAGTAGAAAAGTTTTACAGACTCTTTGATTACAAAGACTGCCCACGCGCATTCAAGAAATCTTGGTCGTGATGGATGGCGCGACGTTGGATAGGTTGGCTATTTTGGCCGATAAGACAATGAAACGGTCTTTTTTCGAACAGGCGGCCATTGCGGAAGGCGAGGCGAACACGCTTGCTAACGCATCCGCACGCGAACAAAATGCGGAAATATCCGCGCACACACAGAAAATGAACCAACTTGAGGCATTCATGCACACTAGTTTCAATAGACGACCCAGAAGCCGCAGTCGCTCACGATATGTAAGGGCTCGCAATAATTCACACAATCAGCTATAGACAGGGACAGCAAGATCTTTGTTATTTTCATAGGAGATTTAAAGAGAGATCCTTCAAATCCATTCAGCCCTGCAATTGGTGGGGTCATAACGCACGCAGCGGACAGGAAAACTAAGGTCGTCGTCGAAAATAGAGGCCGTGGTCGGCGATGAAACCAAGCAAAACCGTCTCATCATCACTGACAGGGAAACGAAGATTCTCTTTTTGATAGATACCGGTGCGGACATCTCCGTAATTCCAAGTACACGCAGGCGACGTTGCACTCCAACAGATTGCAAATTATATGCAGCCAACGGATCGACAATAAACACGTACGCTAATGTAGCGACCGGTCGTGCGCACATGGGAAAGTTTTTCTCTCGTGCAAACGGCCCACGTAATTTACGACTCTCGTTCGTCGAAGCTGTTTTTGAGGAAGATATTTTCCAGGCTCGCGTATCGAATGCGTTTAGTAAATTCTTTTCCTAAGTCCCTCAACAGCAAA